TTGTGTTTTGTTTGAACGTGTTGTCACTTAGTGTAATGTGTGTTACTTGTCTGTTGTGTCCTATTGTGTACTACTGCCACCGGGCTAAAACCCAATTGCAGTATAATAAATAATATATAAATATATATAGATACACATGCGGATATGTACTACATTATTCACATTTGTCCACAATAACGACGATAATAACATTTCAATTAATTGAAGTGCCTGATAGCAGCTGAAAACCAGTTACAGGCAAGTACTGAAAACAAAAAAATACATTCACTTACAAGAGGTCAGCAGACTTACACGAAGAGAAAATATACAAAGAACATAACACTAAAAACTAAACAACACAATGAACATTATGAGCATTAAGAGAAACCTTAGATATTATTACAAGTGTTACTAGCAGATTCAATAATATCACTTAATTGGGAAAAACGGAACGGGGTCCACTCAGCCACACCGATCGACCCCCGCTTGTCGGCGAAGTTAGTGCCTACTTTAGCGAATAGAGGGTGTCGCGTGGTCACCGCAACGGATCCCCACGGCCGTTAATCTCGGTTTTCTAGACCGAAGCCGATATTTCATTGAAATAGTTCCTCAGTTATCCTCACGAGGCTGAGTGAAACTCGTTCCAGACCCGTTACTTCTCAGAAAAAACTGCTAGCACCGGGAATCGGACCCGGGACCTCTGGATCTGTAGGGAGGAACTCTGACAACTTTTCTCAATTTGTTTATATCGGTACCTAGCTTCCACAAACTTCTGCACATCAAAGCGAAGGTACTAACTTGAAAATGTGAAGTTCACACTATCACAGACTTGTTAAAATTTCGGTCCCTGTCAAACTTTCTTTACACATGTTACACTAGGGGGAAAATAACTGGGGGGGGGGAAGTGGGAAAATCTGAAGTTAGGCTGAACGAGGGAGGAATTGCTATTCAACCTGATGTGAATCTTCAAAATACTGAGGGCTGTGGTGACCCTTGTAAAAAAGAGAACCGGCAGTGTGGACTCATATTACTGAAGCAAAGAAAGAATGCAAGTGACACCCTGGGAAGGCAGGACCCTTTCCCATCACATCAAGGGCCCGTGAAACCTTCGGTTACCGTAAAAACCGGACTTGAAGACAAGTTACGTAAAGCAGTGGTGAGAGTCATTGTTACGTCACGTACTGCTCTCTCAGCAACAATCGGTACCAACTGACATGCGCATGTCAACGTTTCTGTTTAAAAATTACACGACTAAAATCATTATATTACTTTATCCCTTATCTGAATCTTAAATTTATACCACTAAAAACATTACACTGCCGGTCACGGTAGCCCAGCGGTCTAAGGCATGCAGTGTCTTCGCTCGCTCGGAAGCCGGGATCGTGGGTTCGGATCTGTTTCCTGTGAGCTACGAACTGAATTCTTATATATTATTCTTATACACTGCCGGTCACGGTAGCCGAGCGGTCTAAGGCATGTACTGTCTTCGCTCGCTTGGAAACCGGGATCGTGGGTTCGAATCCCACTCAGGGCATGGATGTTTATTTTGTGTGTGTGTGTGTGCGTTTTTCTGTGTTTGTGTACAGGTAGAGGCCTTGCGACGAGCTGATCACTCGCCCAAGGAGTCCTACCGAATGTGTAAGGTCTAGAAAAACCGAAGTGAACGGAGAAGTTCATGGAGGTAGGCCTAGGCCCACTGGGGCTGTAGTGCCAAGGGGGGGGGGAATATTACACTTTTTTTTCCTACATCTGAATCGTAACAGCGTGCAATACAAATTTAATCTTATTTGCCTTCGGTAAAATAAAACTGCTAATATGGAGTAAAGACCCTTGTAAGAACCTAACGGTAGCTCAGGTAGTCATAAAGTTAATCACCTTTACTGGAACCCAATGGTTCATTACAGCGTTCACAAGAGCCAGAGGCACGTGTATACCCAGCTATGCAATCGTACCAGATTTCCTTAAGACGCGTTTTAATATTATCCTCCCACCTAGGCCTAGGCACCCTTCACTTCAGACGTTCGGACTAACATTCTGCGTGCATTTCTCACCCTTCTTTCCCGTGTTACATTTATATATATTTTTCTCCATTTCTTTATTATTTAATATGACTTCAGTCCGTAAGTTATAGGTTTCCTGGGTGCTGTTACGAAGTATTATTATTATT